AGACTCCAGCCTCCCCACTGAGGATAAAACGCTGTATAGATAACGGATGGATGGATGTCCGGTGCTGTGCAGTCAGGGGAAACATAATCCTTGCATTAACCTAGAGACAGTGAACCCATCATAATGCATGATTGCCTTATGGCACACGCGATAGTTTCTCAGCTTCATTTGTCTCTTGGCCACACATAATGTCTCCTCAGGATGTCGGTACAGGACACAAGGCACCGTCACTAACGTCTTAATGCACTCGACACTTGACATCCTGACAGATATGGTGATGACACAAAAAGTTGTAAGGACTTTTATCAGCATATTATGCCTTTCCTTTTTACCAAAAGGATGATGTGCCAACAGCTGGATTTACATAAATGATGTAATGCCTTAAAAATGCATGGGGATTTTTAAAAAATTAAAAAGTAATGTAAATGGTAATAAATAATAAGACATAAAGAACTTTTTTTTTTTCCTTTTCGTAACACTAAAACACTTTCCCGCCCTCCTCTCGTCCTGTCTCACAGGTTCGGGCCTCCATTTCTCATGCTGGAGGACAGGAGTATCTCCTGGGACCAGCTGCAACAGAGCATCCTCAGCAAGCTCTATTATCTGATGCTGAATGGATCTCAGGCTCAGGTAATGCCTGCACCCTCGCTAACCAATAACATGTCACCCACTCCTGCTCTGCGTCCTCGACCCTTCAGCTCAGAGGTTCCCGGACTCCGTGACCTCCAGCGGTCCGGTGGAATGGATTAAAATAGCAGCGCAAGAGTGGGTGGAAGTGATCTGTTTAGTTTTTATAACGTCTGAGTCACATTTGGAGCTGTTGTAAAAATAGACAAAGGTTACGCCGCACAGTGATGTAGTCCATTGCATGCTTGTTTTTTTCCATAATTCGAGGGATTAATTTTTACTCATTACTCTGCGGTGACTACAAAATTGATTTCCTTTTTAGCAGGCTGGCTGAGTAATTACTGTTGTTGAAGTTTGAGTGTTTGTAGGTGGGACTTTGCTCTGACAATTAAGTATCTTGTACTTGTTCCTCTTTAATTCATTGCAAACTAACCGCTCTCTCACTCCACTAATCACTTCCTCTTTTGTGTGTCGCGCACTAAAACCTCCAAAAGCCGTCAATCCTCACAAAGGGCACATTTCTGTACATGTGTGAAAGCACTAAAGGGTCGTCAGCGGTGAATAAAATCCGAGTCCTGTCGCTCTTTTTGTGGTTGCTTTGAGATCCCTGGTGTCTCACATAAAGTAGTGTTTAAATTAGAAACACTGTAAACTGCTTTTCATCACGTATTTAATTCAAATTAACGATACAGTAGCGGAGTGCAAACGAGGACATTATATTCACAAGGGCACACACACACACACCGGCAGCAGCAGCAGCAGCAGCCTTTTTGTGTGACAGTAATAATGGTTTTATGTGCTGAGCATAAATTCAATTATGTCGCCACCCACTCAAACCACAATAACACAAGTCTCCTGTTTTTTTTTTTTGGAAAAAGTCTATACTGTAAAATAAAGGGAGAAAATAAGCAGATTTTATTTCTATTCTATTAAGACATCACATCTCTGTGGACACGACATAACCTAAGTTAGTATCGACACAATCCATCCTCTAAATGTGAAGTGTTTGTTTTGCGGAGCGCCGGTCTTGCATGTTAAAACTCACCTCGACTTTCTCTTCCACTCAGCATGTGCCGCGAACTGTGGCAACGTTTTCCCCGACAAGCTCCACTTCAGCTTCATTTGTTTCTCCGCGCACAGTTCGAGTGATCTGTACATCATAAGCCCTAATCCACAGCTTGACACCCTTGAATAAACAGCCACATACGAGCGCCCATTCACGCACGCACGTCGTCCCCGCTGCCGGTCGTCGGGTTGCCACGGGCAACGGCATGGTGACGGGCAATATTTGAGGCGGCCTCATCCAGAGCGAGCAGCCTCTCTACTTTATAAGTGAAGGAGGAGAAAAAAATTTGCTCTTTGTTGTTTACTGATCGCTATCTCAGTTTCATAGTTAATTCCTCAAAACCTGTTTGGGCAGAAACAGAGCTGTTGAAGCCTCGTCTCCTGTTTCATCTCGATAAACACGATCACCAGGTAGTTTTGGTAGATTTGTGTGTATTTTAACCTGGAAAGGCCACCTGTATCCCAAAGGGGCATGGCTTGAATCTTTAATGATGGGGGAAAAAATATATATATGTGATCTCATCTAATGTAAAAACACAAGAGGATGTTATGTGAATTTCCTGTCATCTATGTGTCATATAGACGCCTGCAGTAAACAACACTCTTGTCTGATTACAAGTGTTTTTGGATGGGCATCATATGTGAGGGCTTCGGTTCATTCATTTAGTCCCTGAACTATCACTGCACAGTGTTTTGATGCCACCCAGTGGATTGTGCAGGAAGATACAACTCAGGGTAGGAGAAAAAAAAAAAAAAAAGATAATACATTCATGAATCCATCAATTCTATCACAGCCCTTATGTACTGTGCAAAGGGTTTTTTTTGTTATAAAATAGTTGAAAAAAGAATTGAGCTGGTGGGTGTTTTGTGAGCTAAAAGCCACATTTTCTAAATCTTAATTCATTTTCCTTTTATTCTTAACTTTGTAAAAACATTTCTGAGTTTTAGTTTAAAGGCTGATCAAGTTTGAAACATGACATTTACATATAAATGCACACTTTCTGACTTAAAGAGGGGTTCCTGGCTCGTGTCATCACTTTGAGTTGAACTTTTAAAGGTTTAAAAATCCCTTTTATTATTATTATTTTTTAATAGAATTAGAATTAGAATTAGAATAAAACTTCATTAGAATAAAACTTTATTAGAAATTGGTAATTTCTACACCAAAAAACAACTCAACACCAACATAAAATCAGCAACATAACAACAGCATTCAAAATTCAAATCAAATTAAATCAAATCCAAATCCAAATTCAAGTCAAATCAGCATTCAAATTCAAATTCAGTATACAATATGCAGATACATGTAACATGTTGCACAGTCTGGTGATAGAGCATGATGATCTATCTCACCCAGTGTCGTCACTCCTCAACCCTCGCCCTATATATAATATATCTGATTCCTGGAAGATGTTTGCTATCTGCTGAAAATTTGCCTAAAATTCTTTTCTCTTGAATTGGCATAGATCTTTGCAGCATTTTTAAACTTTTCATAGTTGCATTTTGGTTTCAGCACCATACTCTACAGTTCCATTAAATTAAAGGGGACGCCATATTAATTTATTTTATGCTCCCTGCCTTCCTTTATGATTGAAGATCTTTCCTATTTTCAACTGAACATGCGTTGTGCAGCTGATAGAAAGAGTGGAAGTCAATTATTAAGCTGCCTGTTAGCATTCCACTCATCCAAGGTTTTTTTTTTTTCGTTCCTTATCTTATGTGACTGCAGCGTGGCTTTTACATGATTTGATTCGTCTACCCAGAGGTTTGGGAAACGTTCCTACATCCAGCATCCTCACTGCTATCGACGACTCTCCATTAAGACAGATTACGGATGCTAAGTCCAATTAAATAAAACTGTGCCAAATTCTTGTGCGACACTCATTAGAGTGACGTCTCCTGTCTGCTCTCCCCCGTTAGAGTCCAACAGACAGATGAGGCCATCTGAATGCACGCTTGCTCAAGCCCCATAAAACCAAGAAGAGAGACTGCGCCTTTTTCATTTACCGCTTTAGTCTCCTATTAACCGACTAATTTACTTCTCTTTATGCTCGGCTGCAGCTCCCATTCTCCAACAGCAGCCTGCGCAGAATGAACACATTAGAAACCCGACGCTGCCCTCGATTCTCCCGTAACTCGGCCCTCACGTCCTTGCGGCAAAGAAGTTTTGATACGTCTGTAAATGCGTTTTCTCTATTCGCAGTGTGGAGGCGGCGAGGCTCGCTGTAGATGTGCTGTAGATCCAGTGGGATTCGGCCCCAACTCAAAGAACTGTTTAGGTTTTTGCAGCACTTGGTTTTTAAACTGTCCAAACACTCTGAAACGATAAATCACTTCTTCACATTCATGCTGTCTTTTCAGATGCATTACACCACCCACAGGCCGTGACTGTTTTATTTCTGTTTCTAGTGGCATATTTTGACATGTTTGTTTTCCGTACTGTCCTAAATTAGTTCTCATGGCTGCCGAGCCTTTATTAGATGACAAGCAACCACAGCGACGAAACTTAACTCATAAAACTTTTTACTACACAACACAGATGATATATATTTATAGATAAACTGTATGTAGCGGCAATTTACCTACAAAAATGCCACTCAAGGGATTTTGAAGACAACTCGTGGTGGTGCGTAAAAACACGATCCACTATGGATGTGTGTTTTAACACTTTATTTACTGTTTCTTGCAAATCTGAAAACACCTAGAAAAGGCTGGGTGACTTAAAATTGAGCTCGTATACAAAAAAACCCAACAATAATACTACAACACTCATTCAGACGGTCACACACACACAGGCACAGTTGAGAAACTGTGTGGCTTCCCCTGGCTCAAATCCCTGACACTGATCACCTGTGTCTCCCTTATCTACCTCTGCCTATGCCCACAGGTGTGCAGGTAACCCTAGCAACCAAGTGCTTCACCAAAGAGAGACACACACACACACACACACACACACACATACACACACATACACATATACAACATAGACACGCAGCATAAATCTAAATTGGCTACAACAGTGGTCCCCAACCACCAGGCCGTGGACCGGTACCGGGCTGTGGGTGCATTTGGTACCGGGCCGCACAGAAAGAAAAAAAACATTTTATTGCTTTATTTTTATTTCCAGCAGAGTCTGCATGGTGTTTTATTTTGGAAAAATGACCACCTCGTCTTCCCATCTGTGCTTGTTTCTCGCCCTTGACTCAGTCAGTTTTCATGCTCCGCAGTTAAGCAGAGCCGTCAGTCTAACCCAGGGGTGTCCAATCCTGGTCCTCGAGGGCCACAATCCTGCATGGTTTAGATGTTTCCCTCTGATTCAAATGATCAGGATCGTTATCAGGCTTCTGCAGAGCTTGATGAGGAGCTGATCATTTGAATCAGGTGTGTTGGAAGAAGGAAACATCTAAAACATGCAGGACTGTGGCCCTCGAGGACCAGGATTAGACACCCCTGGTCTAATCGCTGCTGAAATGAATAAAAAAAACAAACGTCTCAAGAAAGCTTCTTTGGAAAGTGGGAGAGATTAAGACAGAAGAAGAAGCAAATACATATTTATAATAATAATAATAATAATAATAATAATAATAATAATAATAATAATAAACTTTATTTATAGAGCACTTTTCAAAACAAATGTTACAAAGTGCCTTTCAGTAAAATAAATTAAAATTAGAATGTAATAAGCATACAGAACAATTGATAAAAGTAGAAAGGCACACACAAAGAGCAAGAAGCTAAAAAAACATAAAACTTAATAAAATCAGGAAAAGCTCTCCAATAAAAATATGTTTTAAGAACTGTCTCAAAAGAGAGCACAGACTTAGCCGACCTGATTTCCTTGGGCAGGTCATTCCAGAGCCTCGGCGCCCGGACTGAAAATGCTTTGTCCCCCTTTGTTTTCAGCCGGGTCTCTGGGACAGTTAAAAGACCTTTGCCCGAGGATCGTAGGGAGCAATAAAAAGCAATTTTATTTGTTTATGAAACTTTTTAATAGAAAAAAGCTATTATATTTTGTTACGTGTGCAATGACCGGTCCATAGAAAACTTTCTTGCTTAAAACTGGTCCGTGGTGCAAAGAAGGTTGGGGACCGCTGGGCTACAAGACTGTATACTTCATATATTTGCTATGTTAATGATAAAACTCACAAAAGAACTCGCAGATAATTTAACCAAGCGCCCTCCCTACCATATACCAACAAAAAGACTTTTGACGTCACCATTTCCAAACCTTTACACCTTTCTCTGGTAATGTTGTAAGGACTTGATGTAAAGAGCACAAAAATTGGGGAAGCACATGGTTCCACATCGTACTGTTTGTATGTATGAAGACCCCTCACAACACATTTTTACAAGCGTCGTCTTAATTCTCACATCACCATGTACCATGTCATACTGGATTCATCCTTCCAGCATCATCATGTTCTGACGTACTGAGACACCGGCTGTGTTTGTCAGTTTGTTATTACATCATTGCAGTGACATTTCTTGCACTGTTGTTGTCTGTAACCCTCACTCTCGAACACAAGGTGTCGCACTTCTGTGTCAGATGCAGAATGTGCGTCTCTGTCCTGAGTTAAACCTCTGACGTCTCTCTGTGTCCGGCCACACGGATGATGTTCCTGATTTGGAAACGCTGATCGATGATGCACTTTTTGGCTTTTCTCTTTTTAATGTTTTTAAACACTCAATATACAGTAAAATGTAAGTTTGCTGCTTAAAAATCAATGATTCAAACTGCAGCTAAACAAGTGTATGGATTTGTCTACTGTTTAGTTTTTGTTCTTGATTTTGAAACTTTGCAGGAGAGATGAGTTTTTTTATTGACCCCAGCATACATTTCCACCCCGGTGACCTTAGTGATGTTGCTTTTAGTCAGAGTCACAGCTGCATTAATGTGTGCGTCTCTCCTTGCAGAATGCTGGAGTGCTTTTTAAGATCAGAGTGGTTGGAGGATCTGCAGCCTACAGCTACCTGTCCCCACAGGACAGCAGGCCGCTGTACCACCCTGCAGTTGACAGGTAGGCCACACACTCACACTGTACATTGCATCCACGGGGATAAACACAAATACATAAGCAGCATGTTTATTACTGTCCACATACACACCGATCTGCAACTAAACCACCTACGGGTAAAGTCAATAATGTTGATTATCTCATTACAAAACCCTGTTCTGCTGGGAAACTGCACTTCCTGGCATGTGGATGATCTATTGACAGGCAGCTAAAACTTTACTCATGCAGGACAATGTGCAGTAACACAACAAAGAGCACGAGGTATGCACCAGAACAAGCCCAATCCGTAGAGTCCACAACACAATAGCAACCAAAACACCTGCCGCCAGACGTCGCACGATCCTCCCAAAAGTCCCGCCTCCGTGCCCCGATGTGTCAGAGCTGCTTTTAAATGTTGTGGCTGATCGGCGTATAAAAGTCCTTCACACATACTGGAACTTATTGTCAACACTCTTGGCACTGGAATGATAAACAAACGGACGCGTGCCATACGAATGACAGACTGCAGGTGAAAGCAGCATCGGAAAAATGGCAGGAAACCAATAAAGAGCCATATGAGCGAGTGGGATAAATGACTGCACAAACTGGTTTTCACAGGTGTTCGAGTGCATTCGACAAAAACGCTGCTATTCCCTTCAGGAAGCGGCGGATCTTAATAGGATTATCGGCAATAGGGTATAATGACGGTGTGAAGATAAGGGCTCCCACCCCCCCGTTGTGATTAAAAGGTTTCACCGTACAGCGGAGCAGCTTAGCATAAATCTCTGATGCTGTTGCGCTGAGCTGCACTGAAGGTCAGGCCTTCGACAAAGCAGCAAGGAAATGAGATCATCTTCCAGGTTTGAGGAGATACTCAGTAGGCAGCTGTGTGTGTGTGTGCGTATCTAATCAAGCACGTTTGTCTGTTTCTGCACATGCTTTTGTGTGGGCTCGTATTGCTGCATGCCCTCACTGAGTCTGGGGGAGCTCGTTCCTTGTGTCACAGTCAAAATGCAAATGGGATTTTGCTGACTTTGTGCACACGGGTGTTCCTTCCGAATACATGAAGCACAATGTGAAAGTACAGACAGAACAGTAGGCAATATGGCATGACAAATCTCTTTATTTGTTTCAGCTTGACTTTAAAATGCTCCGGCGCCGCTGTAGCTCACCTGGTTGAGCTGGCGTCCCATGTGCAGGGCTACAGTCCCCATGTGGAGGTCATGGGTTCGAATCCCGCTCATGAACCTTCCCCACACGTCCTCCCCCCATTCCTCTCCCCTACTTTCCTGTCTCTCTCTCACTGACACTATCCAATAAAGGCACAAAGGCCAAAAAAAATAACTTCAAAATGCTCCCAGTGGGGGGTGCCGCTATAGCTCACCTGGTTGAGCTGGCGTCCCATGTGTAGGGCTACAGTCCCCATATGGAGGTCATGAGTTCGAATCCCGCTCGTGACCCTTTCCCACATGTCATCTCCCCCACTTTCCTGTCTCTCTCTCACTGACACTATCCCACAAAGGCCAAAAAAAAAAACTTCAAAATGCTCCCAGTGGGGGCGCTGCTACAGCTCACCTGGTTGAGCTGGAGTCCCATGTGCAGGGCTACAGTCCCCATGTGGAGGTCATGAGTTCGAATCCCGCTCATGACCCTTTCCCACATGTCCTTCTCCCCCACTTTCCTGTCTCTCTCTCACTAACGCTATCCAACAAAGGCCAAAAAAATAACTTTAAAATGCTCCTAGTTATACACTTTCTTTGTTACTAAGTCAGAACCCGTAAGAGGGGCCACCGGGTCACTGAGCGCCACCAGAGCCTGGACGTGTCGACGTTTAGGAACGAGGTTATTAGTGTCAAATTTAAAGATATGCCTAAATCTAAATTATTCTTTCGGTTCTTTTCCTATCATTAATTAAACCCCCAGAAACTCATTACTGTCTATCAAAGTTATTTTCCTCCATTAGCATAATCCCTTTTCTGCCTTAAAATGGCTCGGATTCATGCATACTGTTGCTTTCTTTTGAAATGTGCAAATCTATGAAGCACCGACTCACCGACCACAGAGCACAATGACAACTTGTATTATTAGAGTAAACGGATAAAGACAGAGAAAAACCCCAAACTGCTAGTTGCAGAATCTGTTTTTTCTCTGCTGTTATCTATAAACGGCACTTTCAAGGTGTTCAGGCATTGACAGCTTGTGTCGCTCCATCTTCCACTATATAGAGAGATTCAACAGGTATAAAAGGAAGATTTTCATTGCAGGTAATCTTTACATTCTCGCCCACTGACTCGGTTCAAATGCAAAGATACTTCTCATTATGAATTCATGTGATCACTCTTGTCAAACTTTGTCAGCTCTATTAAAGTTTCCTCCTTCTCTGACATCCTCTCTGTGCTGCATTTCCCATTATGGATTTTACCGTACTTTATAAATATTTCCTTTTTTTAAATCCAAGGTAATCTCTGTTGTTGTCGAACAGCAATTTGTTCGGTAGTAAACACTGTCATCATCGGTAATGAGCACGCTAACAATTCACAGAGAGGAAAAATTCCATGAATATTTCTGAAATGCAGACGGCAGCGGGGGCCGACGTGTGCCTAAAGGAAACCTCGGCAGGTTGTGTTAAATTGAAGCAGCGTGAACTAAGAACTGAGGCGTCTTCAGACTTTGTACAATTTGGAGAGTTTGTTCAGATTCGTGCCGGCCGATTTGCTGCACATTCAGTTCCCTCCAGCTTGTTGTGAGTGAGTCACTTAAACCAGTATATTAACGGGTCGCTTCTCACAGATTACACACAAATAAATTGTCCCACATAGTTATTACTTACAGTGGTAGCTGTGATTTTATATGACACGGTTTTCCTAATACTCAGGACATGCATGCATGTTGGTATCAGCTGTGAGAAGTGAACATTTTTATTGAAGACTTAATGTCAAACAGTTTCGAAGACTTGGAGGAATTTTCCACCTTTAATACCAACAGTTAATCCCTCACCAATTCTAGTTGTATTTTATATTTTTGGATAGTTTTGGTTTATCTTGTTGTTAGTATAATAGAATTAACTTTCTCGATCTGCTGCCTTCTGCTGGTTATCCAACCACCTAATTACTAAATGCTTCGTATGCATGCTGTTATGGAGTTTGTTGTGTGCCACTCGAATAATTACAGACTTGTGCAGAATTTAATTGGCCACTTGTTCAGCTGCCACTGGGACTGAGTTTTTGTTCAGTTTTTAGGTGGCAAGGTTTTTACACAGCGGGCTGTGTTTCAACAAGAGACATTCTGAGACACATGAGTCAAAAATAAACAGAAAAAAGTGACAGTTTGGAGACAGAAAAGACCATTTTTAGATACAGTAGGTGGAAAATCCAATCAATGATATGTCAGATTTTCGTGTTTTCATAATCGTTGAGTTTAATTTGTGTTGGCATGTTGTGTAAGGTCGACATCTAGTGGCAAAGCTCAGTAGATACATGATCAAGCTTTAACTGTCTGAACCCTCTGAACCTTAAAACCCAATGGCTAGAATAAATAATACATGTTCACCAAAATGGCACCATTTTCAGAGCCAGAAACTGTAAAAACAGACATAACTACCATCAGATTTTTACACTTCTAATGATCCTTGAATGTGTCACGCGTAAAAGTGCTGCTCCTTTGGGGGAATTAACCAAGTTGAAGCCAAAAATCATAATATTTCATCTAAATCCTTTTATTCTAAATGTCCCGTTTAACTTTTTTTTTTGCAAAAAATTAAAAAATGAAACATAAGAATTTACGTGATTCTCATCCAAACTGGGAAACCATTTGTAAGAACTGTGACCAACAGTCATGTGACAAAAATTCAGTGATTTTCAGGTGAACTGCAGGCTCCTTTCCACAAAGGAGGCAAACATGGAAACAGGTTAAAAATGTAAATACAGTCATGACTCGATAATCCGACCCTTAACAATCCGAAAACCTTGCTGTCCAACAGGTTTTTAGTAAAAACGAACGTAACCTATGAAAAATATCCTTAACATAGCGACAGCCTTGGATTCCGACTCCGACGTGACATTTTATGTCACAAATGAGGATAACAGCGTATTATCTGACTGAACAATCCCACAGATTGGCTACGTTCACACTGCAGGACTTAATGCTCAATTCAGATTTTTTTGTGAAATCTGATTTTTTGTGAGTTCGTTCACATTTCCAATTAAATACGACTTGCATGTGATCTGCTGTGTGAAATTCATATGACGCTGAAGTGTCCTGCATGCACAGAAGAGGACACGACGACGTCACATGCAGCGAGCGTGCTCAGCCTTTGTGGAAATAAACATGGATGGTGGTGACGGCGATGGTGGAAACAGAACTGTGACCACTAAGTAAACTGGTATCAGCAGCCAAGTCCTGCCTGTGTGTTCCGCCCACTTCCACCCCACGGGATGGAAGCGTCCCCCGACCGCACCGAATATTCTGATATTCATCATTAATTGAGACCAGAACGTGCTATTGGGACCAGCCCTACTAGTTATTATAACAACTATGAACAATGAACATTAACAACAAATGAGCCTTCAAGCATCAAGCCCTCCTTGTATCTCGACCTCCGTCTTGACAATCCGACAGCCTTACTATCCGACATAAAAGAAGGTTTTACATTTAGTGCCGGATTATCGAGTCATGACTGTAGTTCGATTTACCTCATATGTAGTATTACTTTTTTCCGTCTAGGTAACACCTGTTGGAACTTGTGAAAATGTTGTACATGTTGATTTCAGGTTTTTATCCATTTTTGAAAAATAATTAATCAAGGAAATTCAAGTTTTGTTTTTTTCATTCTTTATGATTTATTGCATTGTAGCTGCATCTCACTGCACAGATCTTTGAGTTATTGCTGCTTCTCTACGTGGTTGTGCCGTCTCCATAGAGGTGCAGAACTACTTTGCATTACAGTGAAAAATGAGCCCACAGCAAGTAAAGATGTGACAGGAGCAAATAGCGCCCAGAAATTGCTTACAGTTCAGATGGTTAAACATGGTAAAAGGGAACAACAGTGGCACAACATGTTTGTACTTAAAAGACAGAATGAGTACAGGTGCTTCTCAGAATAAAACGAACATGGCTCCAAAAACATCTGGTCCAATGATTCATCATCATCCTGCCAGAACAACAACAAAAAAAAAACTCTCTCAGCCGCTAGCATTTACATTTAGAGTAATACATGCACTTGGCCCTCTGTCAGAGCTGTTTGGCTGTTAGATACTGTTTCATCTTTCCTCCTCAGATCAAAGTGTTGTAGCTAAGCTCTGAAATAAAGAATCTGTCGCCACATTATTAATCCACATCAGATGTGTGCATCCTAAAACGTGATGTGAGAGCAGGTCTCAGGTGTGCTTTGAGTGGCTTCGTGTAATCCTGCTGCCACCGTGTGCGTATGTGCTCGTCTCTATCAGTGTGAAAGAACGTTAAAACCAACAAGCACAAACATTCGTAGACCATTTATCGCCACCAGAGCAGCTCTATTCCATGACAGCAGCACAGACTTCAGCCTCGGTTGGTTTTTGTGTTTTTTAGGCTTTTGAAGATGATGCAACGCGATCACAGAATAAAGATCGTAAGACTTGGATGGTGATTTTACTGTTGTTTTTCTTGCAGAGCTCTGAAGTTCTGCGGCCCGGGGGGACCGCCTCATGTGAAACTTGTTATCGAGTGGGAGCACAGCTCTAAAGAATGGTAAGCATTGTGCTTGTACTGTCAGCAGAGTCGACGTAATGAAGCCTAAAAAAAAACATGGAGTCAAACACAGTTTATCTCCCGTGGTTTCATTTTTTTTTGCTCGGTTCCCAGAACACACACTGATTCGATCCGAGCCTGTCGAACGCGCTCCCATCGATTCAAAGAAATAACACCGCTGAATGGGAATAAGACATATATTGTGTGCTCCAGTCTGTTCGGCAGCATCCAGGAGGAGGTGGTGAAGGATGCGGAGAGCGTGAGGAACCAGCAGCAGCAGCATCTGCAGCAGCATAGCTGCACTTTGGACGAGTGCTTCCAGCTGTATACCAAAGAAGAACAGGTGAGACTGAACACGACTCAATTATCAAGTTGAAGAAGAAGTTGTCATCTGCTAAATGAAAAACGTGTCATCTGTACTGCAAGCGCAAATTTACGACTCGCTTCCTTCTAAATCACCAATCCTCATTTGATTGTCCTTTAACACTTTTATATTGTTTTCTTTATTGTTTTGTTTTTTCCCCTAAGTGTTCATAAACGAGCTTTTTTCCAAATGCAATTTAAGACAATAATCCTGAGACACGTTTTATTTTCTCATTGTAATATATAGTGGGATGAAGTGGCGGATTGAAAAGCAGCACAGAGTCAATGCAGATAAGAGGAAAGGCAATTTACTTTATCTAAAAGGCAAAAACTTTGGTTGTCAACATGCAGGCAGTAATCTGGGTAAACAAACTGAAAGGATCAAGCAGAGAAAGATGGTTGGAGGTGATGTAGACAGAAGGCGAAAGGTCCGGCGTAAGAGCTGAGGAGCGATGGAGGTAAATGGCAGCGCAGTGGAGATCAGGTGATGTGGACAAAATGGAAATGACACAGAGGCTTAATGTGTCCGGTAAGCAATAAGAGGAAATGGAGCGGGAGGAGAATTAGTGCTGATAACAGGAAAATGGAGCCAGACATGAGGTGACGAGCTTCCACACTACGTACAAAGAATGAGTCTTTTCAACTTGAGGGCAGAGCAAGTTGAGGCTTTGATGCTTTTTGCTGCGTACCATCCCTTCATTCACCCCTGCTCTCTGTCATTACCCGGTACAGGGAAGAAAAACATTATCTTAACAAAAAAAAAAGAGGAGCCAAGTGACAACCGAAGCTTGTGTAAACCAAAGAGACGTTGATGCAACAGCAAAACTTTAAATGAAAGCTTCAAGAGAAAATCCACTAAAGTTGTGTTTCAAAGCGGACTAGCGGTTCTCGGGGACATTAACGGCACAAGTAGAAGAAAAAAAAATGAAATGTGCCAAGATGTTTGCAGCTCCGGAGGGAAATGTGTGAAGCCTAATAAATCGCCTCTAATGAAGTCACTTGGGTCGCACTCATTTCGGACTACAATCTGCAAATGTGGAGTGACTCATTCCTCGTCTCCGCTTGACGCGAGCAGCTCGAGGCTTCATTAGCTGCCACGAGCAGAATGCGGTAGAATCTCTGACTGAACATTCGGACGGTGCAAGATTATATATGTGGGGTTCTGTAGGACTGGAGCCTATCCCAGCTGACTAAGGGTGAAGGCAACCAACCAAACACACTCACATTCACACCTACAGACAGTTTAGAATCACCAATTAACCTCAGCATTTCCTCGGACTTGTGGGAGGAAGCACCTGGTGAGAACCCACGCTGCACGGGGTGGACATGCAAACCAGACAAAGAAAGACCCCAGACCAAGATTCGGAAGCTGTGAGGCGACGGCGCTAACTACCACATGCAGCGAGCCACCCAGCGAGATATATACAGACGTCCTCAAATGTATTCATACCCTCCCATTAAAGAAGGGGGAAAAAAAGCTGTCACTGAAATAAGCTGAAAGTGACAAAAGTAATAATGAATAAAAGTTTAATGAAAATCATGACGTTGCTTTTGAATTGTGGTTCAACAGGAATATTATTTTTAAAATACAGCAACACAACAAACAAGCACGATGGGACCCGTAAACTAATATTTTGTTCAACAATCCTTTGAGCCAATCACTGCAATCAAGTGTTTTCTGTAACGCTCAGTCAGACTTCTGCACCTGTTGACAGTTTTTTTAAATTAGGGGCAAGTAGGTGGGCAAAGAGCGACACATTAAAGAGAAACACACAAAAAGGTGGGAAGCAGCAGATCATGTGCAGCGGCAGGCCTGCTACCGATAACAGAATGAGTGTTGCTGAGGAGGTGATATCAGGCAGAAACTGAATCAAGTGCCCAACACATGTAGCTTAGGGACCTGGACATGTCAGTAAAATGTCTAAACGTGCTGATTTTGTAAATATTTGTTCGTCAATTTCTGTTTTATATAGGAGGTGTGTCAGAACATTTACAGGACTGGTGTCACAAAAGAGTTTTCCCCCTGAAGTCTAACACACTGTCCAGGCTTTTTGCTCTTGTTTTTATTGTACCTATTATTTATTAGACTTTTTCTTAAAAACAACGGGACCTGAGTACTAATTTCGCACCACAAACATGTGAATGTGAGCTGGCAGGAAAAATAAAGTTCCTTGAATCATTCTCTGCTACGCCGCCATGCACTCCTGGAAGGATTCTTCCGGGATCCTCCGTCATCACAGCCGTCTTGATGTCGTCCACGTCTTCAAAACAGGTCCCCTTGATGACCCCCTTGAGCTTTGGGAAGAAGAAACAATCACACAGAGCCAGGTGGGGTGAGTAGGGAGGTTGCTCCAGCACGGTGATGTTCTTCTCAGCCAGGACCTGTCGGATGCTCAGGGCATCGTGAGCAGGTTGTCATGGTGAAGCAGCCACGACTTGTCCTGCCACAACTCTCGCCTCTTCTGAACGAAGCAATCGCCGCAGGATCTCTGTGTAGACGTGCTGGCGATTACTTTGGGTTTGAAATATATCCTTTGTGACACCAGTCCTGGAACTTTTGGTGAAGCAGCCACCACTTGTCCTGCCACAACTCTCGCCTCTTCTGAGCAAAGCAAAAGAATCTCTTTTTAGACATGCTGGTTGATCGTCTAAAGGGGAAAACTGGTAGTTTGGGTATAAAATACATGTCTTGTGACACCAATCCTGGAACTCTTCTGACACTCCTCATATGCTTCTTCAAGAATTTCACTCAAGATTCATCTAGGGATCTGTGTTTCTATGACTTTTGTTATGAGCATTTAGGATAATTTAGCCATTGGAGAAAGTTTAAGGTTTGTTTTTGTCCTTTATTAGAGTTTGTGGACATTTATTAGCAGCAGCAGCACCACACTGTGTAATTACAGTGAGCATTCATGCATGAATAATACAAAAAAAGGCAAATTTTCGGCCGAGCGAGGGAAAGTGCAACTTCACTCTATGTATAGGAGGAGAAACACAATTTACAAAGACAATGACCACGAGCAGGAAATGGCAGCAAAGATTAATTTCTAGAAGCCAATAATCTTATCAGCAGTGGCATTAACGGGCTGCCAGTCAGTTCTGCCAAACAGCTGCTCGTCGCTCGGCGTGTTTTCCGCCCTCCTAAGACTGTGGCTGCCATTCACTTCATGAATGGTGAAAATGCGTTTTTTAATGACCTGCTGCGGATTTATTCCGTTTCTCTGAAGTTTTTCTGCCGCCTGCAATCTGCGTTTAATGTGAAAGTAATGAAATGTTGATCCTAATTATGTGAATTTATTCAAGTGTTGCACTTGACGGGTTGCTTTAGCGTCGTTTCTAGATGCTTGCCAAACGGGGAACGCTGCAGTTTTCACTCCACCACGTTTACCGACATCTTCGCGTGCTGTTTTGATAAAACGTCAGACTATAGATTCAGATTCAGATTTGTTTATTGTCATTGTAACAAGTACAACGAAATGAAGGTGTAGTCCTTTCAGTGCAAAAATATAAGAACTTGGAACAATAAAAACTTTGTAAAAAACTTTGTAAACACTATATACAATAAACAAGCAAAAAGAAATGAACTCTATATACAGGATGAAATTAAATTAAATCATGAGCACAATGTATTATTGCACAGAGTGGATGTTGGGCAGAGGTAGTGGAGTTGTATATTGCACATTATTTTGACTGGGAGGCATTTATTGTTCTAACAGCCGTAGGAAAAAAGCTGTTTTTCAGTCTAGAGGACGATTTAGCCGCTCCTGTTTGTTCACAAGGCCTAGAATACTCTAAGCTGCCTCCTAAATACTACACTTTTGTCAATGTGGCCCACATGTAGAGAAAACTGCTCACTCTTTGTTAGAATGGCAAATGTCAGCTTTACTTTTTGCCAGCTGACAGAAGAAATCATCTGAGTATCCACATGTTGATATGAGGAAGTTCTTAGAACATCCACTAGCATATGTCATGTTTTTTTTACCTGTTTTTTTTAATATTCCCTATACTTACACCTCAGATCTCCCATGCAAGCCTGTGGTGTAGCCCAGAGGCCTTCATTATGCACCCATGAGCATCATGTTGTTATAGACTTGAAAGCTCAGACCCCCAATTTGTTAGACTGGTTTCTATAAATTCTAATCACAAACTTATCAATTATTACCTTTTCAATTATATACACAGACTCCACCTCGCTTCTAGAAAAACTTCATCTCATGAAACTCATCACTTTTCCAATCTGTCAGTTATGTGCTCTTGGCCTTGTCGGCTTTTTTTTTTCGAATGAGTGTCCCGGTGTGGCCTCATTTTAGAAAGTATCTAGCCGCCATCTTATCGGATTTACTGGGTGTGTATAAACCCTGTCGTCTCAAGACATCGATTTTAAAAGATGCTTCTTCACCGTCAGCCTCCGAATATTATGATTTATTTGCAGACAAAGTGTTGATGCTCTCCGTTTGGCTGCGGTATTTTCTGAGCATGCCGCACATGGAGTCAATCTGCGGCTCAATTACGTGGAGCTAGAAACGGCGGCCGGCTTGAATCCATACACACCGAAGTGCATTCAGCTGTATTATTGTTACTCCATATGTAATAGAGAGCTATCGTCAGATGGCAGCGATGAGTTCGGGCGCCGCGTGGATCGATTCATTCTGTTGGTCTTGATGCACTTTGATCGTCTGATGCTGTGATGATTGTTGCTTCTTTGTCATATAAATTGGATTTATGAAAATCAAGGTCAAACTTAATAGCCCTGCAATATATTTGAAGTGTCTTTTGCTGACATTTTCGAACCAAACTTTTACTTGTAATAGAGTTTCTTTTTTAGATTGCAGTCTTTGTATTGTGTGCCGTTCTTTCTTTAGATTTGCCTCCTTCTAGCTCAGATAAATCATCAGTTTTGGCAATCAGCGTTCGTTCTTTGACTCTTTCACTGTGCAAAATGTGAGCAGAAGATGTGCTTTTCTCCCAATTAATCTCTTT